TTTGATTTAATTACTTATATTGATCGATTATTTAAATTATTTATTGAATAAGCAAACGTAAATATTTAATTATTTATTTCAAATGTTAGAAATTTATTTCAATTAAACTTTTAATTAATATTTTGATTATTAACATTTATTCATTTATCATTTAAATAATCATTTAATTATTATTTATTTTTGTGCATTTCATTTAATTATTTATTCCTATTGTTTTTCATTTATTTGTTTAAATTGTTCATTTAAAATATTTTATTTAATTACTTATATTGATCGAATATTTAAATTATTTATTGAACAAGCAAACGTAAATATTTAATTATTTATTTCAAATGTTAGAAATTTATTTCAATTAAACTTTAATTAATATTTTGATTATTAACATTTATTCATTTATCATTTAAATAATCATTTAATTATTATTTAAATGTTCATTATTTATTTTTGTGCATTTCAATTAATTATTTATTCCAATTGTTTTTCATTTATTTGTTTCAATTGTTCATTTAAATTATTTGATTTAATTACTTATATTGATTTATTATTTAAATTATTTATTTAACAAGCAAATATAAATATTTAATTATTTATTTCAAATGTTAGAAACTTGTTTCAATTAAATTTTAATTTTGTATTTTGATTATTAACATTTTTCATTTATCATTTAAATAATAATTAAATTATTATTATTTAAGTAATAATTAAATAATTATTTAAATAATAATTAAATTATTATTATTTAAGTAATAATTAAATAATTATTTAAATAATAATTTATTGTTGTGTATTTCAATTATTTAATTCACACGGAAAAAAAATAAAAAAATAAAAAAAATAGAAGGCCCTAGCAGAAAATAGACGGCCCAGGCCGTCTGCTAATGACGGCCTGGGCCTTCTTCTTCTCCAATCAGTGCCGGAGATGGCCATTTCCAGCGATCTACGGCAAAAAAAAAACCTCAAAAAAGATAATTTTTAGTAATTTTACATAATCTACAAAGGTTTCTACCACTATTTCCAACAAAATAAACATTCAACATCCGGGTTCAAAGATTAATGGGGGAAAAATAAGCAAAACTTACCTTCTTCGCCTCTAATGGTGGCAGATCGATCTCCTTCCAAGAAAAAGTCGTCGGTTTCCTTGCTATTTCTTCTCCTTTCTCTAAACGTCGATTTGAGAGTGATTTGTTAGGGGCAATATTAGATTTTCATTGTTTTTAAGGCTTTTACAAATTTTTCAAAATTTTTTTTTAACAGTAGTCAACAATCATTTTGGAAAATTGTCTATTTTTTGTGGCTATCCGCCACCATTTCCTCCTTTATACAATGAATACAACTTTAATTTCTTCTTCTTCTTTAATAAATTGCAATTTGCTGTAAAATCAACTGCTATATTATACTGTCTAGAACATGAATACATCGTTGAATTTGGATTATATGAAAAAGGAATCCAGTTTCTTTCACCATGTCGTTTCCTGATTGCTATGGAATTCCCGTTTACGAAGTTTCAAGTCTATTCTTTATGCACACATTGAAATCATTATTTGACAGAGATACTTAATGCAAACCACTGGCAATAATTGCCTATCATATTCGAATAAATTTCATTGCAGTATACATTTGCAGAAGCATGAGAAGGAAATTTGACAATAGATATACACAAGGTGAAATGACGAGGTCTTGATGTAAATAACTATTTAGTGTGAGACGACATCTTGAAGTTTTATGCAGTTGGATAAGAAGCTTGCATGGCAATGCCACAGAGTCCTTCCTCAGCGTCAATGTCCCTTTGCATTCTAATGTATCCATTCTCACCCCAACTTGTTCCCCAAGAATTCTTAACTAACCAATACTTTGTACCGTCACTAGCTGTCCCATAACCGACTGCTGTAACTCCATGGTCTAGATCGGTCCCGCATTCTCCAGTGAAAACTCCACTCTTATAGAACTGGAAGTCTGATCCACTAGCATCAATGGCAACAGATACCGGTTGTTTAGCCACAGCTTTAAGCAATGCTGACTCGCTATTAGCTGGAACATCCTCGTATCCTGTAATCTTGGCAGCATGGGAGGATTCCTTCTTATTGTTGCAAGTGTCGTCTGTTCCGGCATATGGGTAATTAGATTCAGTTGTAAGTCCGTGATTCTTGATGATGAACTGAAACGCATTATCCATTAGACCTCCATTGCAGCCCATATCTTCACTTGTGTCGCAATCCACAAGTTCTTGTTCGGATAATGAAATCAATTTTCCTGACGAAAGTTGGTTTATTCCTTCAGTGGCTGCAACAGCTGAGAATGCCCAGCAACATCCTATTGTATTTTTACAAATAGTTAGATAAAGAGCAAAAAAATATAATCTTAGGAGCAGATCAAATATGTAACAAAGAAATTGAGTTAAAGAATAGTTTGTTAACCAACCACATTGGCCTTGGTCCTTAACCCCAGTAACAGCTCCCTTCTTTCTCCAGTCCATGCTCGATGGAACCGCGGTCATATTTTCGTACCTAAATGACGACACTTTAGGTGACTTTAGGAAAGGGGACATTTTGTATCCATTACGAGATGCCTGAAATTCCTTATTTGTCAAATCTGCAAATTGATTGATGCCAAGCTCGTAAGCCCGAGTCCCTGCTTTGTTAAAAGTCTCAATGTACTCAACATTTTCCCTGAATATTTTGTATCGCATTGCCTTCTCTGCACTATCCTTATACTGGCGTCCATATTGTGTCATCCATTGCTCGTGTTTTTCGACCATGGATCCATCTTGCAATGAACGAGCTATGGCTTGAGATGCCCCCATCTCCAACACGATCATTACGACAAAAATAAGCTTCCAAGCGAGAGTCAAAGCCATTCTTTCGAGACGGAGAGTTTTAATGTAATTGAATTTAATTATCTAAAGAAATGTTGTACTGCACCATCCGAGAGAGACAGGTATTTATAGAATTCATGGAGTTCATTCTTCCACAAAATATTACCTTAAACCTGCAATTCGAAGTCCCTGGATAGCCCGGTAAGTTGGGGATGACAAGGAAATTATATCTCAATTCCGTGGCCGCTGCTTCATTATATTCAATAATTAACTGGATGTCCTGATTGATGAGGTATTTTTTTTTAATATTTTTTATTTTAGTGAACAAATGCTTCGTGTTGGTTTAACTTCAAATGCCTTTTGGACTTTCCTTTTGTCAGTTGCAGCCACCTTCTTGTCTCTGTTATATTGTATACAAAAACCAAGACTAAATAGGGAGAATACAGGTAATTAGTGATTCTTTAGTGGTATAATATTTATAAATAGAGCTCAAAAACCCTGTTTGTCACTCAGTTTATAGTAAACTTAATTTTGTGTTAGTCATCGAACTTTAATTTGTTTCAAGGTTCATAAAGTTCGGTTGTTATTATTATTATTATTTTTTTTTTTTATTTTTTTTTTTTTGGAGTTTAGCCACTCCCTTGAAATTCATTGGTTTTCCTAATGTAATATTCAATGTGGAAGACGGTAGCTTGGCGTGGCTTCAACATAGATATCTTTCATTTTCATTTTCATTTTCATTTTCATTTTCATTTTCATTTTCATTTTGCACATTTCATAAGAAAAAATAATACTTTTAACTCATTGAACCAAACTCAAATATAAAACGAATCTTGGTGATAATTAACTCATCTATATGTTAAGAAATTAAGTTTTGGATAGTGTTTGCAATATTTTGAAATAAAATATTATTTATTTGTTGTTGATAAACTAATTGTATTAATTTGAGCTTTTATTTGTTTATAGATTATTTTGATATTATAAATCGAGTGCATAAGTTGATAAGCACGAAAAAAATATGATATATAGTTTGATCTAATTTTTTGCCATTCATGATTGGTTAATAAAGGTGAACATTTTATTTTCATAATATCGTCTTAGTTTTATTAAAATGCATCTTTGACTTTTGTAATAATATTGAGAGTACATATTTAAATGTATTGAATTGGGTCACATGAATTTGATTTGTGAAATTGATAACAAGAATTTAATTTTACTTGATTATCGTACATAGAACCTTAATATTGAGCAGGTAATAAACTTCGATTACTAACTTGAAGATTCTTGAGATAATTATGGATGAGATCTAAGTGTTGGTCAATATCTTGATGCCTGGAAAATTAAGTGAAATAACGGGGAATATATATTTTAAATATGGAATATGTTGCCTATTTTGGCACGATCATGATATCAAATGTTTTTCCAGTACACAATTAAATTTGTTCTCAGTAATTCGATAATGATTGTTGAATTAATATTATGATGTGAAGCTATGGAATTGTCATATAGAAAATAGGATTTTACGGATTTATATATATTTGGAAAACGGCTTTTCTTGATTGTCTTTGTGATGGAAAATTTTTGGTTGCTAAACACATTTATCTATTAAAGTTAGATAAAGACACAAATAGAGGGAAGAAGAAGGCTGGAGAAGAGAAATGACAGACTCTAAGCAGTAAGTGGATGCTCTTGAACAAGGAATTTACATTCATCTGTGTCGATCATTTTATTCCAACGCTAGATGAATTTTCTTTCATCTTTTTTATTACTCTTGTTCATCATATAAACTGAGTTGAATTAGAATTATTGAATAATAAACTGAGTTTTGTGCATATTGCCAAGAAAAAATGCAGTTCATCTGCATTATGATGCCATGTGATTCATTTAGTTTTAACCTTGATTTCATACTCGACACGAACAAAAAACTCTTCTCGAGTAGACTTCATTAACTACTACAATCCAGAAACTCGAAAAGCCTTTGATACCCTTAGTTGCACGGTTAACAAATGATCTACTCTCTGAAATCTAAACATGGTTGAACTTGAAGTCGATTAATTTCTCAGCAACCTTCTGAAATTCGAGGTTTATACTCTTCAATCCCATCATTGGTTTTAGTTTTACAAGTAGCCAGCCAGCATTATATTTCAGAAACAAATGGGGGAACCTTGGATTCAGTAAATACATGAAGTAAAAGAAAGTATAAGTAAGCATTGAATCTCTCATTTACATATGGAGTTTCCAATACAACATAAATATACACAATCAGGTGCACGAGTATTCATGGATTTATATAAGCAAAGGTGAGAGGATCAGGTCTCATGAAGAAATGGTAAATAAGATCCATCTTACATCTTGACATTAATTTTATGCAATACCGCTATCACTAGTTGGATAAGACGCTTCCATGGCAATACCACAGAGGCCTTCCTTCGCATCAATACCCCTCTGCATTCTAATGTATCCACTCTCGCCCCAGCTAGTTCCCCACGAATTCTTAACTAACCAATACTTAGTATTGTCACTAGTTGTTCCATAACCGACTGCTGTAACACCATGGTCTAAATCAGTCCCGCATTCTCCAGTGAAAACTCCACTCGAGTAGAATTGGAAGGCGGATCCACTGGCATCAATGGCAACAGATACTGGTTGGGAAGCCACAGCTTTTAGCAAGGATGATTCACTATTGGCTGGAACATCCTCGTGTCCTGTAATAATGGCGGCATGGGAGGATTCCTTGTTAGTGTTACACGTGCCATCGACTCCCTTGTATGGGTAATTAGATTCAGTTGTAAGGCCATGATTGTCGAGGATGAACTCAAATGCATCGTCCATGAGGCCTCCATTACATCCTTGATCTTTACCTTTTGTGTCACAATCAACAAGTTCTTGTTCAGATAATGAAATCAATTTTCCCGTTGTGAGCTGGTTAATTCCTTCCATGGCTGCGACAGCTGAGAATGCCCAACAACATCCTATAATTTCATTCAAGTAGTTAGATAAACAATAAATTTGATGATAGAACCAAAAAGATTAGTTGGTCAACTTACCACATTGGCCTTGGTCCTTAACTCCAGTAACAGTTCCCTTCTTTCTCCAGTCCATGCTCGAAGGAATTGCTGTCACATTTGCATATCTAAATGATGTCTCCCTGGTAGATCTTTTGTAAGAGGACATTTTGTATCCATTACGAGATGTTCTAAACTCTTCATTCGTTAAATCAGCAAATTGATTGATGCTTAGCTTGTAAGATCGTGTTCCAGCACTGTTAAAGGACTCAATGAACTCAAAATTCGCCTTAAATATATTGTACCGCTTTGCCTTCTCTGCGTTATCTTTATACATGCGTCCATATTGAGCCATCCATTGCTCGTACTTTTCAACCATAGATCCATCATTTAACGAACGAGCTATGGCTTGAGACGCCCAAATCTCCAACACCAAAAGTGCAACAAATATAAACTTCCAAGTCGGTGTCAAGGCCATTCTTTAAAGCTGAGTTTGACAGAATTAGAAGGTTGAAATGTATTTGTTTTTTTTTTTTCTGAGATGAATGAGAGAGTGATACGAGACAACTACTTATAGTTCTTCAGAGAAATCCTTCAACCTGCATTTCAAATTTGAAACCAATGTAGAGATAGTTACGTATGTCCTTGGAAAGCCCGGCAAGTTATGAATGCATGGACTACCAGAGCTCAATTCCGTGGACGCTAATCCAATAGTTTCAAATGGCATTCTTTATTTGTTTTGCACTTTGATTTTCTGCCATTTTTTATTTATACTATTTGGATCTTATCCAGTTATTTAAACAAAAAATAAATGGTTTAACCAGGCATATTTCAAAACCAGCCTTTTATTCTTCATTTTGTAATTTATTACTTTGATTGCTATCCAGAAGCAGATTAGAACAGGCATTGAAACCACTCGCCTTCAGTTCCATGCTCAGGAATTTGATCAACAGCCGAGCTTTTGCTGCACTCAACTAATAATTATTACTCATTCCGTCTCATAAAGATAGTCATGTTTTTATTTTTGGTCTGTCCCGAATTATAGTCATGTTTCTTATTTGGGAGTGTAATTAATATATTAATTTCCTAATATTCCTCTATTTAATGTGCTTTGTTATCACAAATATAATTTAATTATCTTGAATATTGATTGCATTAATGTGGGGGTACATTAGAAAAAGTGATAGTAAAACTATTAATTAAATTTTCTTAATATGTGTGAATAAAGAAATAGGACTTTCTTTATGAAACGTTGAGAGTATAATAATTTTATACATAAGATAGTTGGAATAGTGTCACGCCTTTCAACAAGCCGACACATCGGTCCGCTTCTCTGCACGCTAGAGTAGAAATAAAGCCGTGCCCACAACTAATTTATTGAAAGATAACTAAGCCCAAAATCCTGTATTGCCATAAAATAAGAGCTTTTTTGCGATCCTCGTTGAAAATAACCTATTAGAAGTATCATTAGTTTTGGATTTCCATATATCAACTTTTGAAGAATAATTCTAAATTTCTCGATGAAGCAGCTTAAACCTGTTGAGAAGTAATATACAATATGAAACTAGCGATGTCAATGGGCCGAGCCGAGCCGACTCGGCTCGTTACCCTACGAGCTCGGCTCGTGTTCGTTGCCCAACGAGCTCGTGAGCAACGAGCCCGAGCCGACCTCGGCTCGTCAAAAAAAAACGAGCTCGAGCTTGTGGCTCTTGGGTGGGGACGAGCCGAGCTCACGAGCTCGAGCTCGAGCTCGGCTCGTTAGCTCGGCCCGTGAGCTCCTTTTTTAATTTTTAATTTTTATACACGTTTTCTTTCTAAATATTTTTTTAAAAAATACAATTTTGATAAATTTTTATCTTATAAGTATTTTTATTTTGTAAGCAATTTATTTAGATAAAATATGTTTTACTAATAACTTATAAGTTATAATTTATAAGTAATTTTAATTATAATGTATTTTTTTATGATTTTATCTTATAAATAATACTTACTTATAACTTATAAGTTTTTTTTTAATTATAATTTAATTTTTTACTTATAAGTTATAAATAATTTTTAGTTAATATATTTTAATTTTCAAGTTTATTTTGAAGAAAACATATTGATTGAAAATCATTATTTTATAAATGATAAAATTAAATATGATATGAGAAATTGTAAAATGATTTTTCCAAATATTTTTCCTTTTTAAAATAATAAAAATAATAAAATATAAACCCTCCTTCTTTATCCGGGCTTGGGACCGACTACTTCAATATTTCTTATTTCGAGTAGGCGGAGTTAAAAATTGTACACGAACAACTTGTTACGTGTACAAATTTTTTTTAAAAAATTATAAAGGTATTAAAATAAAAATTCATCATAAATATGATTAAACTAAATATCACTTACTTGACTACATGCAATTTCGGCATATTTATTTTGCAGTCGAAAATGAGCGTCTTGCCAGTCCTTCACGCACATTAATGCTTCCAAAACATCTTCTTTTAGTCGATTCCTAACATCAGAGAGAACCCTAGATCCTGCACTAAAAGCAGATTTCGAAGCTACAGTGCTAACCGGAGGTGTTAGTAGATCTTTTGCCATTGCAGAAACTATTGGTCATCGGCGTTCATACTTTCGGCAGAAGTCGACTACTTCTTCTGAATTTTTCCTCAATGCATTGTTACTAGGCCAATTATGATTAAAGTAATCAAGTAATTCAGCAGGCAACGCATTTTCACTAGTACGTGCAGTAGAAGACACTACTATGATTGGAGGAATCATATGCATTTCCAATTTGACCATACCTATATGAGTTCATACCTTCAAATAAATTTAAAATTTCAGCGTCGTCATCTCCTAAATTAGTGGAAGGAGTACTTGTAGAGCCGAAGGGTACACAAGTAACTTGTGTACCCATTCGTGAAGCATATATTACATACATTTCAGATAAAGTTGCTTCCAAATTCCTATAGGTAATAGGTATGTTAAAAGTTAAAGATTCTGACATTCGCTCAATTATAAATTTAGTACCAGATAAATTATATTGGGGGTCCATGATGCATGCTAATGGAAATAACATGGGCAAGTCTTCCCAATATTTTCTAAACTTTAATTCCATGGCATTTATAACTGAACTAAAATCGGGATCATTTTTAAATCTATCAAAAGCCCTAGCAACTAGATAAAGACGTTGAAGGACCATACAACTAGTAGGATAATAAACACCAGACAAAATATTTGTAGCATCATAAAAACTTTTCAAAAAATGTTTAATTTTAGTAACTAAAATCCAATCGGACTCAATCAAAACAGTTTCCTCGTCGTCTCTAAAATGCCTACTGTTATAAAATTCAGTAATTAAATGTTCGAAACCTTCACATGATTTTAATAATAAATATGTGGAGTTCCATCTATGCGCTACGTCACTAATAAAAGTTTTTGAATGCGACACCCCATGTTCGGCACAAAAGTCCTCAAATGCTTGTTTTCTACTAGGTGAAATAGTAATATAAATTAGTGCATCCCTAATTCCTTGAATTTCATCCTTAACATGTTTTAAACCATCTTGTACTATTAAATTTAAAATATGACATACACATCGAATATGAAATAAAAAACCACCAAATTCAGGTTGAAGTACTCTTTGCAATTTCTCGATAACA